AAAAAAAAAAAAAAAAAGCCTAACTTTGCAGAAAAACAGCAAAAAGGAGCACAAGTCTAGTTGAAAAACAGAAAACAGCTAAAAGCTAAGAGCTAAAATAACTGAATACAGCTGAAAACATCTGTAAGAAGCATAAATAGCACAAATGAGCAGAAAAAAGCACAAGTTAAAAAAAAGAATAGCAAAAACAAGCAGATGTACAGCTAAAACAAAGTTAAATTAGTATAAAATAAGCTAAAAATAGCAGCCACAAGTTAAAATTAGCACTTAGTGAAACTACTGTAAAAGAAATAAAAACAGAAAAAAGTAAAAGTACCAATTTGTAGTAAATAAGCAAAAACAGCTAAAATTTTCAGTAAAACAGCTAAAAAAGTGGATGGAATTTTTTTAATTGGCTTAAGGAAGCGTAAAGAGCACAGGTTTGCTGAATTTAGCTGAAAAAAGTTGTAATAGCTACAAAAATGTGTATTTAGCTTAGAAAAGCTAACTTTAGCTAATAACAGCTAAACAGTAGCTAAAATTTCAGCAAATAGTTGAATATATCAGAAAGCATCTGTAAGAAACCTAAATAGCACAAAGTAGCAGAAAAAAGCACAAAAAAGTAGAAAAAAGGCAGAAGAATATTGAAAAAAGGCAGAATTTTAGCTAAATTGGCAGAAAAAAAGCTAAAATTAGCAAAAGAAAGTATCTGAAATTGGCACAAGAAAGTGACAAAGAGCATAAGCAGGACAAAATGTGTAAGGTGTTGTAAAGATTTAGAAACATTTTAAAAGAGTTTAAGGATGTTGAAAACACTAAACACAGCTCTATTCTTTTTCAATGGCAAAAACGTGGCTAAAAAAAGTGAAACAGCTAAAAAAAGCAGAAATAGCTGAAATACTAAGTCATAGCACCCCTCACATGACTGAGCTGAATGTTTTGATACATGAATGGTTGGAATAGCACAAACATTGTGGATTGAGTTCGAGGCTGAAAAGCGTGCGGGTGAACGAGGGATTTCAGACCTGCTGAGTAGAAACTGGGAGCTGTGTGCAGGGTGCTGCGTGCTGGACTCAGCCGGGCCTGGGTTGGGACTGGGGTTGTTGGTGTGGTTGGCGCTGGGGTTCGGGTTCGCAGAGGCCGAGTTTGTGTTGAGGATGGCGTTGGCCCGGCCTCCGCCTCGCGTGGCGTTCCGGGCCGTCTCCAGCTGCTGGCGCGCCGCCTGCGCCTGCTGGCGCTCCAACTGCAGCTGCATCTGGAGCTGCTGGAGCTGCGAGGCCGAAGGACCCGAGCTCAGCTGGCCTCCCGCCGAACGCCGCACCCCGGACAACTGCGACAGGAGCTCTGCGACAGACACACACACAAGCTTCCTGTAACGACGGCAGGTTGAAGTCTTTGAWGTCCTGCTTCACATCTTTAAATCTGAGCTCAAACAAACTGCATCATTTATCCTGTTCTTTAGACCCAACCACAGAAGTGAAGACACATTCAGGTTGATTTCTGCTGGCTAAAACGTGACCAACAGCTCAGCAGGTGTAGCAGGTCACTGTGCTTGTTTGTGAGGCAGACTGAACACACATCCTCATTATAACACAGCTGGAGGGGACGGAAAAGGCCAAGCACTGATCCAGACCTAAATTGAGAACAGGGTAAACAAGAAATCGCCCCGGCAACATTTCTTCCTGCATATTATTACCCAACTTTTACACGTTTTGCTCATTTAAAACTGGATGCAAACAAAACGTGTTTACAAACACATGAATGTGCTGCCTCCACTCCACAGAAATACAAGCTTTATTTACAGGTTTGCAGACGTGCACACCAGGTAACTTTAATATTTAGGTCCCCTAACTCTAAAGCATAAACGCTCTTAAAACAATTTAGCAAAAGCTAATTGTAAAGCACTAAAAAGAAAGAAAAGTTTTATTTATAAAGCGCCTTTCATTGGGCCTCATGCAAGAACCGTTCGTACGCACAGATTTGTTCTTAAGTTGTGCGTACGAGTGATTTAGGAG